TAGCCAAAAAAAAAAAAAAAAAAAAAAAAAACCTCTATCAAAATATATATACAAAAAATTTCCTCCCAAAAAGAATAATCATGGATCCAAATCAAAATTTCGACTTGAATTCTCTTTTATCTTTATTACAAAATAATCCTCAATTATATTCCACCATGAATTCATCTCAACAAAATCAATCTCAAATTTATCAAACTCACATATGGGGTAATGCACAAGTGCAAAATTTGACCTAATTTCTCCAATCTCAAAATTAGCAATCTACTCCTACAAATAATATTGAACAACCTTGTATGACACCCATTAGTGGTGAATTTCAACATCCGACATTTCATTTCAATCGGATAATGTTGATGTTACGACTACCACTCGTAGACCAGCATGCCGTAAATCAACACAAAAAGGGAATAAAAAAGGGTTGAGTTGGTGGATCGAAGATGAAACACTCCTTGCCATTTCTTGGTTAAATACTACCAAAGATAATGTCAATGGCAAAGCAAAAAAATAGAGCAATATTGGGAGAAGATTGCAACTTTTTGCAACGAAAATAAAAAAGAAAATCAAGTAATGAGGGAGGAAAATTCTTGCAAACAACATTGGTGGCGAGTTAATAGTGCCCTCGGTAAATTTGCAGGTTGTTTCGCCAAATACAAAAATAAAAGTGGGTACAATGAAGCATTGAAGCTATCGGAATCACGTGCATTGTACCATACATTGTACGTTTCAAAATTTCAATATGATAGTGTGTGGAGTGTTATGTGTATTACACCAAAAATTTCAAAATGACTTAGAAAGTAAAAGTCCGCAAAAAAGTTGATGGTAGTGAATCTTCTAAGAGGAGCAAGTTGTCTAAAATGGGGGACTACACCTCAAGTGGAGGGGACTTTGAGGCTTTCATTGAGAATGAAGCTAAGAGGCCACACCAATGGGTCAACAAGCTGCAAAAAGGCTACAAGCTGCCCAAAGAAAAGGTAAAAAGTGTTGTAAGTGATCATAGTAGTGAAGCCCTTTCAGTTGCAAGAAGTATTGAAGAAACACGTGCACAATCAGCTAACCAGTTAGTAGATTTAAAAGAGCAAGAACTTGAAAATCAACTCTTGTGTGCTGACGTCACCAAGATGGGCCCCTCGCAAAGAAAGTTGCATGAGAAAGAATTACAAGTACTTGCTGAGAAATATGGATGGACTTTTGATGATTAGATTGTAGTAGTATACTTATGGTATGTAGTTAATTTAAATTAATTTGTAATAAAGGTAGTAGTAGTATTAGTGTAGACTAGTAGTAGTATTAGTGTAGACTGTAGACTAGTCGTAGGAGTATTTTAAATTCATGTTGTTGATGTTGTAAAAGTAATAGTAATAGTAGTATGTTTAAATAAAATTTATTAAATTATATGCAAAAGTGAGAGAAATGAAGTGATCACCTACTATTTACGTAAACCCACAACCGATGACGTCCAACGTCTTCTACAAGTTAACGAGGCTCGCGAATTTCCTGGTATGCTAGGAAGCATCGATTGTATGCACTGGCAATGGGAGAAATGTCCAGTGGCATGGCAAGGCCAGTACACTCGAGGTGATCAAGGGGTCCCTACCATGATATTAGAAGTTGTTGCTTCTAAAGATTTATGGATTTGGCATGCCTATTTTGGTGTTGCAGGTTCCAACAACAATATTAATGTACTGGATCGGTCTCCAATATTTGATGAGCTTCTTGAAGGCTAAAGCCCTAACATACAATACACAATAAATGGAACATTGTACAATTTGGGATACTACCTAGCAGATGATATCTACTCTGAGTGGCCGGTTTTTGTCAAATCTATTCCTCGAGCTAACATGCTCTCTGAGAAAAGGAAACAATTTTCACAATTTCAAGAAGGCACAAGAAAGGGACATTGAACGAGCATTTGGAGTCCTCCAAAAGAGATTCGCAATTGTATGTAACCCAACACGTTTGTGAAAAAAAAAAGTGAAGTAGGGGATGTCATGAAAGCATGCATTATATTGCATAATATGATCATTGAAGATGAAAGAGATGATAACTACGAAATGAATCCACCAAGAGATATCCAATACTCTGTAGCAGCGAATCAAGCAGAAGCACCTGAACTTCAGCATGGTCTTCTTCGAAATTATTATGCAAATCGGGATCGATACTTCGAAAATCATATTCGAATTCGTAATCAAACTCAATGTCATCAATTGCAACATGACTTGATGGAGAATATATCGTCACGTTTTGGAGGAGGTGCTAATAACTAATTATTGTTGTTTTAAATTTCATGTTTATTAAGTTTAACTTGCCTTTTGATTTCAAGTGTTGTAGAAGTACAATTGTTGTTTTATATAAAAAAAAATTGCAATATAAAAAATTTCGCAGTATTATAAAATTATCATTATGTATAATAAAATAAATTTAGTAATTATCGTTGTGTATTATTTCGTCCATAACAAGTTTTACGATATTAATTTAAATTAATTTTATCCGAATTATCATAAATGAGTATTAAATTATTAGACATGAATATTAATAAGGATAATTTGTAAATTACCACCCAAAAATAGTATCAATTTCTAACTAACCACCCAATTAAAATTTTATTTTAAATTACCACCCATTAAATTAAAAAAAACGCTCAGATTACCACCCATTTTGTTTTTCCGGTGGAATTTCCGTCAGTGGGCCCCACTTTTTTTATTTTTTTCCTTTTTTTTCTGGCTTTCTCACTCTCTCTCCCCGATTT